GAGATAGGCGGTGCAGGGCTGGTACCGTCGGGGTCCGCGTCCTGCATTCGGCGCCGTCTCCAAATTCGCCAACAGTTGGGTGCAGAGCGCGACCCGACGGTGCCACTTGGGGCCCTCGAGACCGTCAGAGCCCGAGAGGTGTGTGCGCAGACGACGACGTGGGCAGGTGCTGGGGTCGCCGGCTTGCCGCGGACGCGCGGCTGCGGCTGGGCCTGCGGTCCGGTCCGGTTCTTCCTAGTCCCGCCTGACACCGCCGCTGGAGGGGGAGACCCCAGATCCGATGGTGCGATTTTCCCCAGCGCCGCTTCATGTCGTGGGGTTTCCGTCTGTGATGTCTAAGTCGGGGCGGGGGCGCGGGGGCGCGGGGCTCGGTGGGGCTACGGTTGTCAGCCAGCACCAGCTCCGCCTCTTGTTCTGGGCGTGGTGAAGAAAGATGCTTTCCGCTTTCCACGAGGCCACGTTTGCCTTTCTTCACGCAAACCTCGCCTCTGAGGCCTCAGTTCAGGCACTGGGCCAGCTGGCCCCAAAGGTTGAGGTGGGCTTCGCCTGCGGCCCCGATTTGCCTGCAGGGCGGTTGTCGGAGCAAAAAGCCCTGGGGTTTACTGTCTCTGCAACTCGCCCCTCTCCTGACTGCACCCGGTTGCCGGCCAGTCCCTCCTGCTCCCCAGCCCCACAACTGAGGAACCTGCAGGTCGGGTCTGTCACCGGGAGGCGAAGAGGCCGCAGGACACAGAGTGAGCAGGAAGCAGCTCCTGTGGTGGGTGCCGGGAGCCCTCGGGCCGCTCCTGCTGTCCTGGCCCGGGCTGCAGCGCGCGGCGGAGCGGTGCCGGGGATCCAGCGCCAGGAGCCACTCTGGCCTGGCCGTGTGGGCTCCGTGCTCCACGCCTCTGCGTCGCCCCAGGCTCTGGGGGTCCTTTGCTACGACTGCCCCGGCCTGGCCTCCGCCCGCTCTCGGGTGGGCTCAGGCCGCAGGTGGACGTGGATGGTGCAGGGTTCTTTGAAGGAACTGTTTTGATGCTTATTTTTAAACTTCAGTTACTATGGCTGATTTTGACTATATAGATTCTGCTCTTTATTTTATTACTGAGTATAAAGAATACGTAAGTACTTGTGTAGACACTTGCTATTGAATGCTTTCCAAGACTGTAAAATCACTCTGGAAATGGGGTGGAAGGTGAGGTCACACCTGTGCATTATCGTCAGAGGCCGTGCAGGCATCGCGCCTGGCAGGGTCGGAGAGCCGTGCCCAGGAAGGAGGGCACAGAAGCGAGTGTCTGTCTCGAGGTCCCCCCAACCCCAACCGTGGGAACCAGCCTCTCCCGCTCCTCCTCGGCCCGCTGGGCCACCCTGGGTGCTGGGACCGTGTGCTCCTTCCCAGAGGAGTGAATGCAAACGCCTTGGTCTCTGCTCTCCGCGCGGGCTCACTGTGGTCCTGGCTGCTAAATCGCTGCCTTCCTGTGTGTTTGTTTTTCATGGTGGCTGAAGACCAGGGAAGAGGCGCAGAACCGCGAGACTCCAAGTCCGCCCATGAGTAAGAGCAAATGCTCGGCGGGACTCATGTCGTCCGTGGTGGCCCCGGCTAAGGAGCCCAACGCCGTGGGCCCGAGGGAGGTGGAGCTCGTGCTGCTGAAGGAGCAGAACGGGGTGCAGCTCACCAACTCCACCCTCGTCAGCCCGCCGCAGAGCCCCGGGGACGCCCAGGAGCGCGAGACCTGGAGCAAGAAGATCGACTTTCTCCTCTCGGTCATCGGCTTTGCGGTGGACCTGGCCAACGTCTGGCGGTTCCCCTACCTGTGCTACAAGAATGGCGGTGGTAAGTCTCATCTCCGCGGCCGGGTGGCAGGGCCGCTCCTCCAGGAACGGTGCGCGCAGGCGGGGTCCGTGTGTCCCCGGAGGGGACGGAGCTCCTTCCTGCAAGGGCAGGCGGTGGGCACACACGTCCCCGATGATGTCACAAAGCCGCAGAGCAGAGCCCAAAGCATCCCTGTCCGGGAAGACGGTGAGACCGGGGAAGAAGAGCCTGGAGGGCAGTGGGCGGAGGCACCTTGCCTCTTCCTTCCGTGCCCAGGGTCACTTTCACTTCGGAAAGAACATTCCTAAAGGCCCAAAGATTTAGGCGGTATTTACAAAGTGTGTGGCTGCCTTGAACTTGGGGTGGCAGAAGATGCCCCTGGGACTGTGCCCAGCCCACCACCTCTGCCCCCACTTCCTGACATCAGCCGGTCCTGGAACCACGGCTGTTTCTGGACTTGAGTCAGGAAGCTCAGAGCAGGGCAGGGTCACCGAGAAGTGCAGGTTGAGAAGCTGAGTAGATCGCGCCTCTTTCCCATGAGCCTCTTTGGGCCTCCCCTCGCCTCCCCGACCGGTCCCTCTGCTGGACAAAGGGCTTTAGAAGAGTCTCTCCGGCCAGGCCCCACAGCGTGCTCGTGAGGAAGCTGGCGTCATGACGCCCGTCTTGCAGACAAGAAGACTGAGGTCTAAGCAGGCACAATAAGTTGCCCCAAGACACGGTGAGGGGTCTCCATGAACCCCCAGAAGAGAGCATGGCAAAGGGCCCCCTGAGTCGGGGTCAGATTAGGGGAGAGCAAGGGGCATGTAGGAGGCCGAGACCATAGGACCCTGAACTTGGTGCCTGCAGGGAAGGAACTGGGCTCTCCCTTGAGGACACGCAGCACTGGCACCTGCAAGCACCTGTCGGCCACCGGCCCCGCAGGAGGCAGGCTCCAAATGCAGGGAGCTGGGGACAGGGTGGTGGAACCCACTTAGGGCCAAGAGAAGAGTTGGGGCCACAGATCCCAGAGGACTCACAGCGCAAAAGGAAAACAGGATCAGGACACACAGAGGCCAAAGGCCAGGCCTGGAAGGTTCCCCGAGCCCAGCCAGGGAGGACTGGGTGGGGCTGCACCTGCTCTGCGCAGGGCTGGACTTGGAGCGGGGGACACCTGGGGGTTTCTGGAAGGACGAGTCCAGACACTGACAGCAGTGGGTGACAGGCGTGGAAGGGAGGTCTGCCTGCCCCAGCCGGCACTTCCCGCTGGGGGCGCCGTGCAGGGAGCCTCCTGCCCAAGACTGGGTGCAAAGGCTGTGCCTGGACGTGGGTGGTCGACTGGGACAGTGGAGCCCGAGCTCTGATGGTGAAAGGTGGGCCCTTCCGCACCCCTGAGCTCTCCTCGACATGCCGTTGTGCCCCATAGGTGCCTTCCTGGTCCCCTACCTGCTCTTCATGGTCATTGCTGGGATGCCGCTTTTCTACATGGAGCTGGCCCTCGGGCAGTTCAACCGGGAAGGGGCCGCCGGTGTCTGGAAGATCTGCCCCATACTGAAAGGTAAGGCGCGGCCTCTCCTTTCACCCTGGGAAGGTGCGGTCCACGGTGTGGCCCTGGAGCTTCCCCGAGCCAGCCACATCGTGTGCATGTGGTCCTGCCTCACTAACACACACAGGAGTATGCACGGGCCAGTTTAGTTTGGGTCCTATTTTAGAGATCTATAATGACCAAGGATCTCGCTGCTCCCAGGTGAGGCTGTCCTGCAGTTCATTAGTGGTTTTATTTTGTCAAGGCATTAAGATGGTAGATAAGATAAAACATGTATGTATGGACCCATCCATCTACCCATCCACCTATCATCCATCCATCCATCTATCCATCCACCTGTCTATCATCTGCCCATCCATCCATCCATCCATCATCCATCCATCCATCCATCCATTCATCCACCTATCATCTACCCATCCATCCATCCATCCATCCATCCACCTATCATGCATCCATCCATCCATCCACCTGTCTATCATCTGCCCATCCATCCATCCATCCATCATCCATCCATCCATCCATCCACCTATCATTTATCTACCCATCCATTCATTCATCCACCTATCATCTACCCACCCATCCATCCACCTATCGATCACCTCTCTATCTAGTCATCAATGAGCCTTCACAGCTGCTGATGCCATCCTGAAGCAGCTCACCTCACGTTGAGTGCAGGTGACCTACCCAGCCCTCACCCTCCCCAGGATTGCCCTTCCTTCCTCATGAGAGCCCAGGGGAGGGCCACACTGTGTGGAGGGTCAGAGGGCATGAGTGATTCCCTCTGTCACCTGGTCAGGTACAGAGCGGGGTTTGAGCCCAGCTCTGGGTCGTGTCTGCCTGCTGGGCCAATACTGCCTCCCAGGAGCCAGAGTTCAGGGAGGATTTGGGGCATTTCCTCAGGGACACGTGGGTGGCATTCAAGAGGTAAATGACTATTAGAAGATCAGTCTTTGGATTTTCTCAGAAATTCTGGGAAAGTTGGTGTGTTTAGAAGAGAACAGAAGCCCTGGGTGTCCCCAGGATGTGCCGTGGACGGGCCAGGGGCTGATTCTCAGAGCTGAGCCTCTGGTCTGTCTCGGTAGTGGAGACAGACGGCATCGCGCCGTGGCCGAGGTCGGGCTCCAGGGGAGAAAGTCGCCTGGCAGCACGGGAATGCTGAGACTGGCCAGGCCTTAGAGTGCCATTCGTTCTTGGTGGCCCGCTTTGTGAGTCTTCAGACTATAGTCATTTCTTCTGAGGCTTCATGATTTACTGGCCCACACTGAAATGGAACGGTAAAAAGAGAGACCCCCTCCCCGCACCCACCCCACACACACCTGCAGGGAGAGACAGACGCCGGTGTGGGGCGTCCCCTTGGTGGGGTCTGAAGGTAGAGGCGAAACCTAGAGGAATGGCCTAAAACTTTGTCGCTGTCACAGTTCCCCAGCGGATGAGTACAGCAGCTAACGGAAGACCCAGGAGTCTCTCTAGGGGCAGGCGCGCATGGCGAACCGGGCATTGCGTTGTCTGTTCATTGGCGCAGCACTGATTTGGTCAAGGTCGGAGAACCCAAACAGTTCAAGCGAGTTAATCGAGTCCCCCCAGCAGCGCTGATGTGTTTCAGTAGACGTCACTTCTGAGTCCGGCCACAGCTGTATTTTCGTAGCACCGGGGTGTTCAGAGGCTTGGCCGTGCTGAACTGGAGACTGAGCGTCCACCCTCGCCCAGAGGACATGTTGAGGAGTCGGCCCCGCTCTGCGACGCAGGCGGTGGTGATGCCGGATTGTGCTCTGCTGGGTCTTCCAGAGACACCCTTCGAGTTTGGAGCGTGTTTCAAGTCTCTTACGCGACACCACCCTGTGCTCCCACTCCCCGCGAGTGACCCTGACGTTGGATAGAATTAAATTCACCTCTTTACGTGCAGGATTCGGGCAAGGGGTGGCAGGAGAAAGAAGGGGGTGATTCACGCCAGGACCTGGTCAGCCAGCGGAAGCTCACTCCCAGCCACACGTGGCGCCACGGAAACAGCGTTCAACAACCGCCCGCGTGGGCTCTTACGACGCCATTTATAACACGTCACTAAGCGATTTCAAGAACTTTGAAGCACCACGTGATGCCAACAAACTTAACTTGGGCTAACGGAGAGCACCTGGCTTTGGTCAACATGCGCGTCGGCGTATGGGCACCCCGTCCTGGAGAAAGGCAGCCGTGGGGTGGGGTGTTTGCCCTGTTCCTGGCGCGGCCTCAGAACCTGAAGTTGGACAGTCACCGCCGGCCCCGCCCTTCACTCCAAGTCACAGCCCTGCACCCACACCCCGGCGTCCCGTGTCTGCTTTTGACCTGAGCGCCAGTGCAGAGGAGGCTGTGCAGGCGCCGATCGAGGCCACAGGAGGGATCGTCCCGTGACGGTGACTGAGGAAAACCACAGGTCACGAAACGTGAACTGCGCAGCTTTGGTGTCTTTGTGCAAAAACAAAGAGATAAATGAATCGATTCAAGAAAACAAGATTTTTTTTAAGGAAGAGATACCTTGAATAGCCTAATACCAAAAAAGCGACAGTTCCCGGCATGTAATTTCCTACCTGTCGGCGTTCCAGCCCATCCGCAGGGTGCCGGCCTCGCGGGAGACGGGGCCGCTCCCTCAAAGAACAGCGGCAAAGCCCGTGCCCTCCCGGATACCCCAATTCACGTGCCTTCTGTTCCCTCCTTCATCTCCTAAAAACATCTATTATTTATTTAGTTAGAAGAAATCTATTTTCATGTCTCATTAAATAGGAGTCCCACATGGTAAACTAAGACATCAGTTAAAATGCCCAGAACAATAAAACGCGCTAAAAGGCTCCAGTTTCTCAGAGGGGACTGTGTGCCTGTGGCCCCTTAAAGGTCTCTCCTGAGGGACAGAGCCCCACTCTAGGGGAGCCTGCCTCTCCCCGCTCCCCCTGCCCCGGGGGCTTGGGGCCGCGCCCTGCTCCTAACCGGGAGCTGAGATGGCCACTGGCCTCAGAGCCCGTGACTCATCCCGGTTTCCCTGGGCGGACCCTCCAGAGCCCCTCTGGGTGGGCACACCCGCCAGAGTGGGTCGCATGGTCCCCTCTCCCTGCCTTGCTGTCTCCGTCCCTCTCTCTCTTCCCCTCTGTCTCTCTCTGTCTCTGACTCTGTCTTTGTCTCTCTCTCACTCTGTCTCTGTCTCTCTATCTCTCACTCTCTCTCCCACTCTGTCTTACTCTCTCTCTGTCTCTCTCCTTTCTTTCCTCCCTCATTCTTTCTCTGATTCTCTCCCTGGTATGAGTGCATGCATGTGCGAGGACACACACATGCACACGCACGCATACACGCATGCACACACAGATGCACACACGCATGCACACAGGCAGACGCTACGGACACGCAGACTGACGGGGAGGAATTCTCTCCTGTGCTTCAGAAAGACCTGCCCACTAGCTCTTGCAAGGGATGGAGGGAGTGTTCTCTGTAGCTGGAGTTCCTGGAACATGTGTGTTCATTTACGACACCATCTCCTGACGCCAGCCTGGTGGGTGCCCTGGGGGTGCTGGCGTCTGTGGTGGTGGAGAGGGCAGCTCCGTGCTCTCTTGAGGGCTGAGCACCGACTTTAGCAGGAGGCGCCTTCTCAGGTTGTCCGCTTAATCGCCAAAGACAAACCTCCATTTTATGTACGCTGTGGAAACGCCACCAACCTATTGTAGTGAATATAAAATATTTCATAATATTGTGCAGTCAATAATATTTTAGTGTGATTTATCAAACTCTCCCTTTCTCTAAAAAAGAATTTAAGGTGCTCTAAAGTGAAACAAAACAAATTACATACAAGGTTAATATGAAGAAATACTAAGAAAAATATAAATCAGCATTAAGAGCAATGATTGAAATTCACATTTAGCCCTGAGCTTCCTGGGAGTCAGACAAAAGAGAAACACCTCAAGTTTCCAGCATTATTGTCATTGGAAACATAAGAAAGGAGTAAGCCCACCACCTCCTTAGGGGGGACAGTTTCGCATGGCGCTAAATATGGAAGAAATATATCAGGTGAGGCTTTATTTGAGCCTGGGGTGATGTGACGAACAGTGATCACAAGAACGTTCTTATTGCAAACAGAAAAGTGGATTTCCGGGGCTGAGCCTTACGTGAGCTTACGGAGGAACGTGGCGAACTTGGCTGGTTGGATGGGGGCCGCGCTTCAGTGGGCCAGGCCAGTGGCACCGCCTTCCAGAAGGGCAGCGCTCAGCGTGACCAGAGGAATGGCTGGCACTGGCAACCACCTTCCGAGGACACCGCTTCCCTCACCCAGGCACTTGGGGCGGCAGGACAGCAGTGCAGGAGAGAGGGTGCTCCTGGAGGGGTGCGCTGGCACGCCCTTTGCTCTGGGAGCCACGTCAGCCAGTGGTGGCCTTGTCACTCTGTTGTGAAGGTCAAGAAACGTGGCCTGTGGTGGCTCCGGAAGGACCAGGGGCAAAGTCAGCCCCTTCCTTCAGACGCTAGATTTGGATCCACTCTAGTGTTTGATCAAAGGCTTCTTTGAGATCCCAAAGTTTGAAGCTGAGGACTTGGTTTATACAGTTTAACCTTGATAAGTTTTCAAATTCGGCATCCACAGTCAGCCCACGGCACCGCCAGATAAAACTTTCCATGGTTCACTTCAGAACAACATGGCTACCAGACAACATGGCTACCAGACAACATGGCTTCCCAACAACATGGCTTCCCAACAACACAGCCGCTAGACAACATGGCTTTCAGACAACATGGCTACTAGACAACATGGCTTCCCAACAACACAGTTGCTAGACAACATGGCTACCAGACAACATGGCTTCCCAACAACACAGCCGCTAGACAACGTGGCTTCCAGACAACATGGCTTCCCAACATGGCTGTCTAGACAAGTTCACTGTAAATCACAACCCAGCCTCTCTGCCAAGAAATTCAGCGGACAGAAATGCAATATAGAAGTATTTAATATCACAAGTTCCGCATTGGAGGAGGAGGCCTTCCAAAAGAATTCTGCATGGAGCTTAGTAAAGTGAGCACGGTAGCCAGAACATGACCGTGCCTGTCCAGCACTCAGTAGGGAGGAGCTCCTTGACCAATGGGAGGAGGCTCCTGACCACCACTCCCCTCTGCTCACCAGTCAACGTGACAGGCCTCAAGGACTGCTCACCACTGAGTTCTGCCCCAACTCCCCAGGACCTCCCAAATGACCGATCCCAAATTCTAGGAGTGGTGATCCTGGTAAGGGCACTCTGAAAGGCCCTGGGTGGCCCTGCATGGCTTCGGATGTTCATGGATGGCCCTGGGTGGTCCTTGATGGTCTTGCATGTCGTCTAGGAGATGCTGGGTGGTCACACTCAGCTCTAGATGGCCCTCGATAGTCACGCAAGGGCCTGGATGTTCCAAGGAAGCCCTGGGTGGTCTTCCATGCCCTGGGTGGCCCTGTGTGACTCTGGGTGGCCCTGGATTACCCAGGGGGATTATGGGTGGTCATGGATGCCCTTGCTGGTCCTGAATGAGCCCAGGAGGCTGTAGATGGCCATGGAAGACCCCAGTTGTTCCTTAATGACTATTGGTGGCCCCGGATGGCTCTGGGAGATACCAGGTATTCCTGGGTGATCCTGGCCTTTGATAGCCCTAATGGCACAGACAGCCCTGAGTGACCCTAGTTGATCCTGGGTGGCTGTGAGGTGATGGGTGGCATGGCTGTGGGTGGCCCTGCTGGCCCTAGTGACCTTGGGTGTATGAGGGTGGTCCCAGATCCCCTGCAATGGCCCTGGATGTCCCCCCGAGACACCCTGAGTGTCTCTGTGTGGATGTAGATGGCGTCGGGAGGTGGGCAGCCCCTTCTCTGATGGCAGCGTGAAGCTGGCACCGACCCCTTCGTGCCTTCCCCTGTGAGTTTGGAGGTGTTGCCTGAGTTAAGGCTGTCAGTGGATGGCGGCCCAGGGTGGAGGTGGTGCCTGCAGGGGTGGCCTAAAGGAGCTGCTGCTGACAGCCCTGTGCTCGCATCCGCTAGGCGTGGGCTTCACGGTCATCCTCATCTCACTCTACGTCGGCTTCTTCTACAACGTCATCATCGCCTGGGCGCTGCACTACTTCTTCTCCTCCTTCACCATGGAGCTCCCGTGGATCCACTGCAACAACACCTGGAACAGCCCCAACTGCTCAGACGCCCACTCCGGCAACTCCAGCGACAGCCCGGGCCTCAACGACACCTTCGGGACCACACCCGCTGCCGAGTACTTTGAGTAAGTGTCATCCGGCTCCTTCTGTTGGCATCAGGAGTGGGAGGGTCGGCAGGGCCGGGCGCTCGGGGCCCCGTGGCCAGCCACCCCCTCCCCTGCCTTGCGCGACCTGTCCCTGCCTTCTGTCTCGTCAGCGTTCTGGTGGGGCGTTTCTGAATCACACGTTGGTGGTCTCAGAAGCTCAGCCGCGAGTCCCCAACACACATGGAAGCCTGAGTCAGCCCTGGCGGTGCCTTCCTGCTCCCAGCGGCAGTTTGGGGCGGGAGGAGGCTGGCGGGAGACACGCAAGACAGTGAGGTGTGGGGCTGGGCTACACCCTGCTCGCTGCCCTTCCTCCGTGTAGGCCGGGGCTGAGCCGCCTCACTGCGGGAAGACCCCGGGTTCACTGAACTGGCCCTGTCTACTAGGTGCACCAGCTGTCCCCTTGTATGAGGTTTTCTTCCCATTCTACTCGCGGCTTTATTCCTTCCGTGGGGCCCTGCCCAGTCCTCCCCTCCTCCCACCTGTGTGCTCCCAGCCAGCTGCCGTCCGGCTCTCCCCTCCTCCCTGCCCCCTGCAGGCCCACACCCTCATGGTCCCCCTGGGGCTGGTCCTCTCCTATCCCTTTCAGGCCCTGCGCCAACTCCAGCCCCCACCCTTCCTCACCTCGGGGCCTGGCCCAGCCTGGAAGGGCCGTGACCACCCTGTGGGTCCCCTGTTTCCTGGCCCCTCCTGGAATCCGGACATGTGCGCATGTGCATGTGTGCACACACGTGTGTATGTGGTGTGCGTGTATGTGCTGTGTGTGTGTGTGTGTGTGTGTGTGTGTGTGTGTGAGAAATACTTGCTGTGAGAGGCCACTCTCTATTCCAAGCTGGAGCCTTCCCCAAAGCGTTTTCCAGCTAGAATTTACCGTGGGCTGAGTTCACTCATTGTCATTATGGGGACATGTGAGTTTGTGGCCGTGTGGGGATGCCAGGCCGGCTGGCAGGCTGGTGCACCTGGATGCCGCGGGAGGGTGTGTGCGGCCCTGGCACTCGCACGGCTCATGCCGGCGCCCCGTTCCGACCGGGGGCTTCTCTCAGATTGCGGCATTTGTCTGGGGGATGGGAAAGGGCATTTGCAGCGACTCCCACTCCATCGAGGTCAAAATTTCACATTGGCCGTGACGTCCCTTTTCGAGGGGCTCACTTGCCTGTTTAGATATATTTTTTTCGTGTTTATATGTGAAAATGAGCCTACCTACGACTTAGAAAAGAAACTTTGACCAATAGAAATAAAATAATTCAGGTTTTAACAGCAAGCAGGCACATTTGCAAGATTTGTTTTGAGTTAGAAAGCAGTGAGCTTAGAAACAAATGACGCGTTGTTATGTCTGTGAGCCGCGCAGGCCCAGGAGGGCCGGGAGGGGGGCGGAGGGGCCTCTCGCCTTGGCTGGGTGCAGGGTCTGTCCCCAGAGCTCGGTCCTGGTGTGCAGGGGAAACTCCGGGGCAAACAGCCTCCCCGAGAGATGTTTTGGTGCTAATATTGTCCACTGAGGCCTTTGCTGAGAGGAAGGGACTTCGCCCGGCCCTGGGGGTCTCGTCAGAGAGGGTGGGACGGTTCACAAGAGCAAGAGACAGCAGCAGCCATGGGCGGAGGACAGAGGGAGAGATGCTGCTGGGAGGGAGATGGGGATGTGGAGCCCCAGCAGGGTTTAGAAGCTGGCACTGCGTGTTCCGTGTCTGGAATCTGACTGCTTTGTTCTGGAACTCCTCAGCGTGGGCAGCGCACTCCAGACCGGGTCTTTCTCAGAGCCCAGGACGCTTGTGGGGCAGGGGCGTGGCGGCGTGGGTGGGGCTGCTTGCTTGCTTGGGGGACAACAGCCTTTGCGCCGATTTGCGACTGGGAGAGCTGAAGACCCCATGGGGAGGAGGGAGATGAGTCCCAGAGAGAGGCCGCCCACCCCGTCGTTGGGGAGGAAGAGCCACACTGGGGGCCAGCAAGACGTGATAAAATTCCCCAAACGGAGGACAGGTCCGCCACTCGCTGAAGAGGACTTTAGCGTCCTCAGGGAGGAGACAGCCACGGCTGAGGGTGGCCGCTTTTCCTGCACGTCCCAATCGAATGCTGTCCTCAGTGGGAACGCCACACGTGGCTCTCAGGGTTGGTGCGTGATCGGAGAAGGGACAGCGCGGGGACACGGGGACAGGCAGAGCGATGCGGGGAGAGCCTGTGGGCCTCGCGGTGTGTGAAGGGGCAGGGAGGACCCCGCCACCCTACCCCATCACTAAAGGATGCTGAGGGACAGGCACTCTGGAGCTGGCTTTATCGTTACACAGACACAACGGTGACGAAATGCTCGAGCAGTGCGTCTTTTACAATTTTAAGATGGATCTCAGTGCAGCTTGGAACATTTGAAAAGGTTGAACAGACATTCTAAGGTGCCAGGTGACGCCGTCGTGGGACCACCTTTCTTTGGTTGGGCGGTGTGGAAAGAGTTGGCTCATCTAAGTGATTTTCAGATAAGAAAACGAGAGAGAAAATGAATAATCTGATGACTTATGATTCAGAATACTAGAAGGGAAGATTAAACGTTATTTTTTAAGAATGTCAGACAGTGAAGTCTATCTGGGAATCCCCAGCCTGGCATGGAAGACCGAAACGGAGCGGTCCCAACCCTTCGCCTCACGAAGGCCCCGTCAGCACCAGCACGTGCCCCGCTCTAGCCGGGCGCCTCCAGGACAGACGCGGGAGGGAGGGGGGTTGAGATGAGCCGCGCTATGAATGGCACGGGGCGCAGAGGCTCCCGTGCTGCTCCCTGCACTCTGAGTGGTGCTCCTAACGGGGGGCGGAGAGTTCCGGAAACCAGCCCCAGTGACCCTGTGGGAAGGAGCAGTGGGTAATGTGCCCAGGTCTGCAGGGGTTGCTGGAATTTGAACCCTCTACGTAAAGCAGATCATTGGAAAAGGGGTGGCAGTTCCCGCGGGCACGTGTAATTAGGGGGTGCACGGCCCACCACGGAAAGCCGCAGAGGCTGAGATGACGGTAGTCATTCCCATGCCAAGCTGTCCGTCCTGCACACATCCGCGCGTGACTGTGTCGGCAACCGCACAGGGGTTCCGGTTTCCTACAGGAAGGACAGAGCGTGCCACGTCATGATTTGGCAACTGAGGTATTAGCAGGAGCAGATCTGAAAGGGCTTCGTCCAGGGTCTCCACTCCAGGTCCTTGGCAAGACACTGGCACGTCCCGTCCAGACGTCGTGTGCGGCACTCTCCCCCGCGCCTGTGGACAAGCTCAGCCCAGAACCTGCCAGGGCTGGCAAATGACAAGGGGCCCATGGGAGCTGACGGCGCCCCAGCCCCCGGGGTCCAGGCACCTTTCCTGCCCTGCTGCCCCTTCCTGGGCAGTGGCCCACCTGCCTGAGGGAGGCGACAGAAATGGCTCCTACAGAGAAAGGAAAGGAAGCATTGCAGCAGGAACCTGGAGATTAAATGGTGCCAAATGGCTGAACCAGGAAGTGCTACTTTTATTCTCAATGGCTTCTTATCTGAGAAAAATAAGGGGATAGTACTTGTCTCGAGTCGCCCTTTCTGTAAAGCCCTACATTTGTCTCTCAGTGCCCGTTTCCTCACCATCCCCGCACTGGCTTGCACATTTCCAGCTTCCATTCCTAACGGGTACACTAGAGAAAGTGTTACAGGCTCAGAGCAAAAACCACAAGTGCATCGCTGGCACCTTCGGAGTTGTGAAATGACATTGTGAACACGCTTGATAAATGTGAAGTCTGGCCAAGAAAGTGCATGTGGGCTGAGAAACCCCAACACAGGCCTACATAGCTCCAACCAGTTTAAAATTCCCCTCACTTCCATAAACACTTATCAACACTGCTTAACATAAATTAGGAAGTTATCAATTAAAGCTACAAATTTGCCTCTACAGGGCTGCATTGGCTGCATCCCACAAATTTTGACGTATTGTGTTTTTATTTTCATTCAGTTCAAAGTATTCTCTAATCTTTCTTTTGATTTCTATTTGATTAATGGGACTTTTTTGAAGTTTGTTGTTTAATTTGAAATATATGAAGGCTTTCTAGATGTTTCTGTTATTGATTCCTAACTTAATTCTATTCTGGCAAGATGATGTGCTATAAAACTTCAATATTTTAAAATATGCTGAGACCTGTTTTACGACTTACTATATGGTCTGCGTTGGCGAATGTTCTGTGTGCACTTTAAACAAAAGTGTGCTCTGCTGCTCTTGGATGGATAGTTGTGTAAATATCACCAAGGCCATGTGACTTCATTGCCATATTCAAGTCTTCTGCACCCTTACTGATTTTCTGTCTACTTGTTCTATCAGTTACTGACAAAGGGGTATTGATATATCAACTGTAACTTCAGATGTGTCTACTTCTCGTCACGGTTCTATCAGTCTTTGCTTCTTCCTTGTGTTCTGAAGCATGTCACAAGGTGCATGCGTGTTTATGGACCCCAGCTCTTCGGATCGACCTCTTTACCACCATGAAATGTGCTTCGTGTTCCACTTCTCATTCTGAAGTCTGCTTTGCCTGATATTGACACGGCCACCCTGTTTTCCTATGATTAGTGTTTGCACGGAGTAGCTTTTCCATCCTTTTATTTTAACCTAATGTGTCAGCATATTTAAAGTGGGTTTCTTGTAGACAGCTTAGGGCTGGTCCTTGCTTTTTATCCAATGTGACGATCTCTGTGTTCTGATTGGAGTTTCTATGCAGTGATTGTCAGTTTGGCTGGGTTCAGGTCTTTCATTATGCTATTTCTTTCTTTGGTCCCATCTCTTCTTTGTTTCTTGTTTCCTCTTTTTATTTCTTCTTTTGAATTAATTAACTTTTAGCCTTCTATTTTATCAATGCTATTGGCTAATAGGCTGGAGTTCTTTGTTTAACTTTCTAGTGGGTATTGTGGGGTTTACGACAGGCACCTCTGACATATAGCAGCCCCCCCGCAGCAGCCCTCTCCACCCCACACACGACTGAAGCACCAGCAGCATTTACTCCGCTTCTCCTCATGTCCTTACACAATTGTCACCGATTTTGTTTCTGCACTATGTTATCAACTCCACAATACATTGTTATTGTTTTTGCTTTAAACAATCAATTACACCTTAAATAAATTTAAAACAGCAAAGAAACGTTGCATATCACCGTGCCTGGTGCTCTCCTACCCTTTCCGTAGATCTGAGTTTCCATTTGGTGCCGTTTTCCTTCCAGCCGAGGGATTTCCTTTAGTATTTCTTACAGTGTGGACTTGCTGGCAACGAATCCTCTCAGCTTTGGTTCTACCGAAAAGCACTGTGTCTTAACGGGGACGGGAATTATGTTATAAACTACACAGAACATGACATTTACCGTCGTGACCCCAGGGAAGTGCACAGTTCAGGGCACGAAGCACATTCGCATTGTGCGACCATCACCACCGTCCATCCGGGCTTTTTCATCCTCTCAAACTGAAACTCTGTCCCGGTTAAATGCTATCCCCGTCGCGTCCCCAGCCCTGCCCCAGACCCCGGCACCCACCACCTGCTTTCCGTCTCCAGGAACGTGGCTGCTCTGGGGACCCCCCGTGAGGGAGTCGTGTGAGTTGTGTCCTTCGTGTCTGGACAATTTCATGTGGCGTGTCTTCAGGTTTTCCCGTTGTCAGAATCTGATTCCTTTTTAAGGCCACGTTACCTTCCGTGGTATGTACAGACGGCATTTGGTTTATTCATCATCTGCCGGTGGGCGTTCAGGCTGCTTCCACGTTTTGGCTGTTGTGAGTCTCGCACTGTGAATGCCGGCATGCGGACACCTGTGTGAGTCGCTGCTGTCACGTCTCTTGAGTTGACACCCAGACGTGGGATTGCTTCACCATGGAATGGTTCCGTTTGCGGTGCTGGGGAACCACCGTGCTGCGTTCCGCAGTGGCTGCTCTTTGGTGCCATGTTCCTACCAGCAACGCTCAGGGTCCGCTTTCTTCACATCCTGGAGTGACGTTGTCTTTTCTTTGTTTTGACCGGAGCCATCGTGCTGGGTGTGAAGTGATATTTATTGTGGTTTTGATTCGCGTTTCCCTGACGATCAGTGGTGCTGAGCATCCTCCCTGTGCCTACTGCCCATTTTCCTTCTTTCTCTGGGAAAATGTCTGTGCGAGTCTTTTGCCCATTTTTGAATTGGGTTGTTTGTGTTTTCGTTGTTGTTGAGTTTTATGAGTTCTTTATGTATTCTGGGTATTATTCTTTTATCGGATTGATATATGATTTGCAAATATTTTCTCCTGTTCTGCAGTTTGCCTTTTCACTCTGTTGATAGTGTCCTCTGATGCACCTAAGTTTTAAATTTTGATGAAGTCCAATTTATCTGTTGTTTCTTTTGTATCATATCCAAGAACCCATCGCCAAATCCAAGGTCATGAAGATTTATCCTTATGGCTCTTCCAAGAGTTTTGTAGTTTTAACTCTTACATTTGGCTCTTTTTACCATTCTGAGTTAATTTTTGCGTCCGGTGTAAAGCAGGTATTGACTGATTTTTCTCTTGACTATTGGTCACCTTTTCTTGCTCCGTTATGTCTAGTGATTTTTTATTAGTTGCTGGACTTGGTGACTTTCATATTAGTGGGTATTTAGATCTTGTTGTCTTCCCTTAAAGAGTGTCGGATTTGTTCTGGAAGGAAGTTAGAAGCTTGCTTTTAAGCTTTGTCAATGTGATTGCAGGGCGGCCCGTGGCGTGGGAGCAGTGTCTCCCTCTCTGGCAGTGTGGCCCTGCAGGGTCTCTACCGAGCTCCCACGTGGCCAGCAAGTCTCTCCCTGGCTGACGGGGACGACCCTCCCACCTGTGCGTGCCCTGGGGACCAGCCAGCTCCCGGCTCCAGCCCTGTGCTGCCTGGTCCTGCAGGGTTTCACCCCGTGACAGGGCCTCAGTATCCACCAAAGACTCGCAGACCCTTGCGCGGGTTTAGGGCGACCCTTCCCTACACAGACCCTCCCTCCCCAGGCTCTGCTCTGCGGCTTCCAGCACCCCACCCCTGAGCTCCGACCACCGTCCCTCACGCAGCAGTTCCCGAGCGCCTGCGCCGGGGCCATCCCCGCACGGCCATGGGAGGGAAGCTGGTCCTCCCGGGCTCACCTCAGGGACCTCGGCCCCAGGTGGCCTCCAGTCCAGTGTCTGAACACTCGTTTGGTGCACTTTGCCCAGCGTCCGAGCTGTCCAGACGCCGTTCGGTTGTGGCCAGGTGTGGAAGCCCCCTGCCCTTCCCACAGCAGTGACCCCCCCCAACCACAGGGCAAGGGCTCCGCAGCGGACGAGCTGGGGGCACTTTCCCTCTTGGTGCCTCGGCCCCTCACCTCCTCCCTCGCCTCCCTCGCCTGGCCCACGGGCCATGGCCGCACACAGCCGCGCTTGCTCCTTCCCCCGTGCAGTGGGCAAATGGTCCTTCGCCACCAGGTGTAGGTGTGCGGGAGGCTGGGGGCTGCCGGGTGTCATGGTGCCACAGGCCAGGCGGGAAGCTCCGCGAGCCTGGGCACATGTCCTGCTGTGGGTATCGGGAGTTATTTCCTGGAACCTCAGCGGACCCTCAATAACAGAGGTCTGGGTGGCAGCAGCTCCTTCCCCATGGGGCCCCTCCCCCTTCCATGGCAGCAGCACAGCCGCTGAAGTCCCCGTGGGTGCGAGGCCGTCTGCAGAGCCGGCTCAGCGGAAGCAGCAGCGCCTCTGCCTTCCCCACACGGCAGCAGGATTCTCGAGTCACTGCACAGAAGGGCCAGGGATCCGTGCGTGCGGGGGCGGGGGGGACGGGAGGGGAGGCATTGCAGAGGGGGCAGGGCGTGGCCAGCTGCCGTGAGCCCAACCCCCTTCCCTCGCCTGGGTCCTGCCCTTGGAGGTGGATCTCCAAAGCCACATGGAGCCCCGTGTTGTCCGGGGTGTCGTGAGCCACTGCCCTGGGAAAATAGTGCAGGCGCCGACGTGCCGGGCATTACTGTTTAGCGTCCGCTCAGCCTCACCCTGCAGAGGGATGGCCTGGGACTGTCCCGTGGGCAGCAGCGGTGCCAGCGTCACGCAGCACCTTCCTCTGGTTTCTGTGGCTCCTTTCCCTCAAACACTCAAGGTGCCCGTCCCCTCCCCAGCTCCAAAGAGCAGGTGTGCTGGGGGCAGGTGCAGGGCTGGGCTTCCTGGGGCTCCCGGCATGTGCGTCCCTCTGCTCTGCAGCCCTGAGGCCTGCGCTAGGGGTCGTGGGTCTCTGGTCCCGTCAGAGCAGGCGCTTCCCGCCCTGCCGGGCTGGGGAGGGCGGGTCTCTGGACAAGCTCAGCCTTCAGTTCCAGTTCTGGGTGGGGCGGCAGCTCCCTCCAGAATCCCCCGCTGACTCCCTCCCCAGGCGTGGCGTGCTGCACCTCCACCAGAGCCGTGGCATCGACGACCTGGGCCCTCCGCGGTGGCAGCTCACGGCCTGCCTGGTGCTGGTCATCGTCCTGCTCTACTTCAGCCTGTGGAAGGGGGTGAAGACTTCAGGGAAGGTGAGGCTCCAGGCCCCGCTCGCCGGGCCTGCGGACGTGGGGCCACCAAGGGGACACGTGGCCATGGTTGGGTTTTGGGGTGGACACATGGTCATGATGGGGTTTGAGGTGGACACGTGGTCGTGGTTGGGTTTTGGGGTGGACACATGGTCGTGATGGGGTTTGAGGTGGACATGTGGCTGTTTGTGAAAGGACGTGAGGCGGGAGAGCGCCCACGGCGAAGTGTTCCTAGCAGGAAGACAGCGCAACACACTTCTTTTTGCTGGTGAAAATACTTTGGTTGTTCCGTGGGCGTGAAAACCAATTTTGACCAAACTGTGTCCTTCAGTTGCAGTAATACATGTAGTGTGGTGTAGGCACACGGGGACCTTCCTGCAATGACAGGCCCCAGAGTCCGCTCCACGTCGAGGCGCACGTGTGCACGGTCAGTGCGAAGCCACTCACACCCTTCCGCCAGAGATTCAGCCACTGCTGCCCGTTTGGACAGACCGAACGCAGAACAAGAACGTTCTTTTCTTGCCAAATTGTTCTTCCCGTATCAAAACCTGGGGGAGGTGTACGAGACAGGAGGCGTCCAACCCTCTCACTCCGCGAGCGTTTGCCGTTTGCTGAGCTGGCACCGTGAGATGTTAGGGGCGCTGGGCTTCCCAGCCAGAGGACACCTCTCTCTTCAGGACAAGCCTGTGCTCTTTGACGCCAGCGTCCACTCCGAGGGCCCCGCCGCGCTGGCCCGTGCAGCGGTGACACTGTGCTCTCCTCCAGGTGGTGTGGATCACAGCCACCATGCCGTACATGGTGCTCACTGCCCTGCTCCTGCGCGGGGTCACCCTCCCTGGAGCCATCGACGGCATCAGAGCGTACCTGAGCGTTGACTTCTACCGGCTCTGCGAGGCGTCCGTGAGTACACCCCGCTCACCACGCTGCGGTCCCCGGGGCGCCTGCGTTCCCGGCGGGACGTCGCACAGGGAGCGGCTGGGCGGGACTTCCTCTCACCCTGTGAATTCAGCAGGTGCGGGCGTCTGTGCTCCCGACCCGCCCTGCGGAGTCACAGTCTGGCGGAGCAGGGGCCGTGTGAGCAGAGCGGGAGGCTGAGTGGACACGGGATGAGGTCCGGGTGGGCTTCCCACCGCTCCCTGCGGACAGTCCGATCCCACCTCCTCCCACCGGGGTCACCCCACCTGCACCTGTGGGCGTCGCTGCCCGTGCAGACAGCACGACCCGCGCGGCTCCGCGCCTGGCATCCGACAGGGCTAAGATGTGAGCTGCAGAAACCAGGGCCCCCTGCTTGGGACACCAGGCTGATCTGAATGGCAGGGGTCAGACACCAAGCCCGAGTCCTCCAGCAAAGGCAGGAGTAACTGTGGCTAAATTTCTGGAGGAGGCTTCGTGAGGAGAGGCCCGGCAGGGCCGTAGGGATGGGTCCCCTGAGAGAGGCAGGAGCAGAGACAGGCCCAGAAACAGGCATGGCGCTGGCGGACGGCTGGCGTGGCGGAGACGGCAGCTGTCACAGGGCGTCGCTGGAGCTCAGGGGGCCAGGCTGGGCCAGGTGGCCCTTTGGGAGGCCGTTGGCCGGTGCGGGTAGGTCCTGTGGAGAGTCAGGTTGGAGCGCATCAGAAAGGCGCACCTGAGGCAGGTGTGCGAGGCACGGGCAGGCGTGGGCCCGAGGCCCGAGGACGCCCGTAGGGCAGGGGCTGGCAGGTGCAGAGGACGGTGTGGGCGCGGCACCCCAGAGGCAGCAGGGCCGGCCGGCTGGGTGGTGGCACGTCTGGATGCTGCCGGGGAAGCCCACGCGGCAACGGGTGGCGTGCGTCCCACGGGAGCTGAGGGAGGGTGAGGACGAGGAAAGACCGCACAGTCAGCAGAGGGCCTGGGACCCACCCTGGGGACGCCAACGCGCAGCCCGGGGGTGCCTGCGGGAGGGAGCAAAGCAGACGCCAGCACGGGTGGGGGGCGCTCAGCCCAGAGGAGCAGGTTGCAGGGTGGGCCTGCGGGAAGGACGGACGGCAGGTGACCAATAGCGTGATAGGAGATGGGAGGCTGGACGAGGAGGAGAGCAGGAGACAGCAGGGAACGGAGGACGACCCCCGGCGCCCACAGGGCAGGCGTAGGGGCTGGGAGGGGGCATGGCTGCTCCAGGGAGCCCTGGGCGTCTGGCGGGAGGGAGCGTGTGCACAGTTGCCTGGTGACAGCCCAGCTCGCCCCAGGCTGAATGTGCTTCCCGCAATTACCGTGATTGCCTCCCCGCTCTCTCCGCCTGTTCCCGCAGGTCTGGATCGACGCCGCCACCCAGGTGTGCTTCTCGCTGGGCGTCGGGTTCGGGGTGCTCATTGCCTTCTCCAGCTACAACAAGTTCACCAACAACTGCTACAGGTGAGCGCGGCGCCCCGTTCAGGACTGCAGGGTCAAGCCAGGGCGTCGCTGGTCTGGGGAGGGTCGGTGACGTTTGGAAATAACGTGTCCCCGGGTGAAGAGAGGGAGATGAACGGAGCCCACGAAACCTCTAAGCCACGTGGCTTCTAAAGTGGACGTTACGATGGGGCAGCGACCAGCAGGAAGTTCCGCTGCAGGGAAGGCCCCGAGACGTGGGAGCTGTGTCCCCTCCGGGGAAGCCCCAGCTTTGACCAGAACCCCCCGCGGGACCCCCGGGGCAGCACAGCCGGGCGCCACCCTGCGGGACATAGCCCTTCCGCCCAGCGGGTCTCCGTCCTGCCTTGCTCGGGCTTGGGCCCCTGGAGCCACGTGCTGGACCCAAAATCCTCCTCCAGACAGACACAGAACTTAATCTGGGACACAATTTCTTTGACCTTTACTGGTTTGTGTTTACTTTCTCTCACATCGTAAGGACAAAAAGACAGTAAAATTACAAAGACAGTGCGCAGTACAACGTGCAGACAGGCCGCGCAGGGAGGCCCCACAGCGGGTGACGTGGTACGGCAGGTCCCAAGACAGCCCTGCCTGGCCCGGTCGCTGGCACGTGAAGTGCGTGGTGCTTGCGCTGCAGCGACCGGCGCCCAGGAGGAGGACCCGGTCTCTCGGCCGTCCCCACCCTGCTCCTCCCTCGTGCCTCTGGCCCTCAGCCCTGGGGGCTCATGAAACCCGCCTCCGGGCCCCCAGACCTGCCCAGGCTGTTGCTCCTCTGCACTATGGGCGCGTGGGTGGGCTCCTGAGGCGGGGCCAGCAGGGCGCGAGAGGCGGCATCAGCTCTCCCCAGCCCCCAAGCCCTGCTGACACGCAGGAGCCTCGGGCAGCTGGGCCGGGGCCCACGTTGGCCCAAGGACAGGCTCTGCAGGCTGCCGGGGGGGAGAAGCAGCCCCTCCGAGCCCTCCCGCCCTCCCACGCACAGGGAATGAGGGATAATAGCTGGGAAATTGCTGCTGCTGCAGCTCAGCTGGGCATGGGACGGCCCGTCTTGTTCCTGTAGGGACGCGCTCGTCACCACCTCCATCAATTCCCTGACGAGCTTCTCCTCCGGCTTCGTGGTCTTCTCCTTCCTGGGGTACATGGCGCAGAAGCACAGCGTGCCCATCGCAGACGTGGCCAAGGATGGTGAGCTCTCCGCCACAGGCTGGCCCACGGCGCTGGCTGCCAGGCTCTCGGCGGGCGTTTCCCTGCAGAGCAAGAGGGAAGTGCACGGCCTGAGTGCTGTCTGCAGGGCGCTCACCTGCACGATGACATCCCAGCGCCCTCCCTGCCCTGGGCCGTTGTGCCCGGGGGGCCTGGAGCCCAAACGTGACTGTGTTGGTGCCTTTGTCCCTTGGTTGCTCCCTGCCCAAGGCCCCAGCGTTTGTCTGCAGGGTGGACGGGGGGACGTACAGCTCAGGGCAGGGGCAGCCCGAGCTGGTCCAGGCCGGGCCGCAGCGTGGCCCACCAAAAGGAAGCCGGGCTGTTTCTGACATCAGCACTTAGTCTGTTCAAAATCTCTTCTCAACAGATGTCCAGAGACCGCGACACGTGAGATGGGCTTTGGGTATAATCAGAGGAGCCCCTGAGGTCCCCGGCAAGGGTGTTCCCGCCTGCTCACCCAGCCACGGGACACAGGGTGTCTCTGCACACCTGGGAGCTGCCGCAGAGGGACTGGGAGGGCGCGGGGCTTGGGCGGGTGCAGGTGACGCGACAGGAGGCCTTGGCACTTGGAGCATTTGGGGCAATCTGCCTGGCTCCGGTACCCGGGTGGAAAGTGGCGGAGTTGGCAGCCCTAAATTGGGTCAGCCCAGAGCTCCGGGTCCCCCGAGATCGCGTGGTACCCTACCGGCCGGCAGAGCCCCTCACCTGCCTCCGGGCCTGCTCTGTGGGCGGAGGCTGACCCCAGGGTCAGGGTGGGCTCCCCGCCCTGTGTCCCCGTCCTGGCTTCCTCTGACTCCCCTCCTGGGAGCTACCTGCAGGCGACGACTGCTGGTCACAGCAGCCCCTGCCTAGCTGTGCCTGGGTGCAGGGGTGCAGGAGGGGACAGGGGAGCAGCGGCCCAGCTCCGCGCATGCCTGGGCACCGGGCCAGGGCCGGCCTCGATTACCCTGTCAGACCCTTAAGAGTCGGCGTTAGGACTCTCGCGCTGCAGGTGGGAAACGGCCCCCCGACGCCTGCAGCAGGAAGCAGGGCTGGTCCTGCAGCTCAGGGCGCGTCTCCTAAGCCCGTGTTCTTCCCTCCAGGAAAAAAATTCAGTAAAGGCCGAGAAAAGGAACAGAATGCAAATAAGTACGCAGCAGTGAAATTTACTCCTTGTTGCATTTATGCAACTTCACATTCTTTTTGCCCTTTATTATGATAAATAGCAGCAGCTTGCAAAACCTCCATTAACCCCTGAAAATGAAGTTGAATGTCTTCTATGCATTTCATGACAAGCAAAGTAAATGTCATTTATAGCCCTAATTCTCAAGAAAACAGGGTGAGATGTTAACTCAGGTACAGAAACGAAAGGCGAGAATGTTGACATTACGTTCGGCCGGGCTGATGAATATCTTCCCAGTCCGTGGCCTGTGGCATTTAAACCCAGAGCGTCTCAAACGAGCCCCAGCCTGCACCTGACCAGGGCGTCTCGGAAGTGCAGAGCCCAGGTGTGACTTCGATGCAGGGCTGATGGGCCCGGTGGAGGACCCCGAGGGATGGGCTCCGGCGCTATCCTTATTTGATTCTTTTTTTTAAAATTTCAGAATATAACGGGGGCACAAACATTTTGGTTCCATAAATAGCCTTTGCACTGCCCAAGCCAGAGCTACGAGCGTGCCCATCCCCCAGACGGTGCGCTCCGCACCCATTAGGTGTGGATTTACCCATCCCCCTCCCCGCTCCTGACTGGCCAGCACCGTCCGTGTGGGCTGCTCCAGACACATGCCTGCTGCGGGTGGGAGTTGGGGAAGTCACGAGCTACGTCCTGCAAGCAAAGGCTTTGCTCCCTGCCGGTGAATGGGGTGCACGTCCCTTAAAGGGGCCACGAGGAGGCTGCCTGTGGGGATGTTTTCACTCTGGGATCGTTTGGGACCAGACTGCATGGTCTTGACGAGTGCCTGCCACCCACCCCTGCACCTCTGCCCGGTCCTCCCTGCTGTGGTGAGGACGCACCTGCAGGCCCCGGGTGGGGACACCACCCAGCCTCCGCCCGTGCTGCCCCTCGGCCTGGCGCACCGCGGCGTGTGGGGGTAACAGGGAGGCAGATTTCTCTCTCTTAAGCCTCCACTGGGCCCCCCAGTCTCAGACAGGAAGTGCAGCCCCTGCGAGCCCCTCGCGTGCCTCGGTGCGGGCATCCAGGCCCCGGCTCAGGGACAGTAGGCCACGTGGCCACGCACTCGCCCAGACGCCCAGGGCGACCTCGGAGGGGGTGAGAGGAGTTTGGTTTTCCCTGCGTGTCCGGATGTGGAGGTCAGGAACATACCCACAATGCGTTGCTAAATTTAGCAATGGGGCTACCAAACAGCCTGAGTGTGATTAGCGTGTGTGGGTGCACCTGTGCGTGCACGTGCATGCGTGTGCGTGTTTGCGTCACGTGGTAGGCACTGGGAAAGCCAACTAGAAGGCGTCCTCAGGTGTTACCTGGGACAAAGGATGGAGCAGCCTGGACGCCCTCTCGTCCCTCAGTCCTGGCATCTCCGTGGCCCGCGTGGACACGCGTGATTTGGGGGAGCAGGTGGCCGGGTTGGTGGGTGTCCGACGGGTCCTGGGCTCCTGTTTTCTAGAGCGCTGGTGGGAGGGAGGGCTCTCGGGGGAAAAGGACAGACAGGGACCTGCGGGAACAGCCTCCCTGGTGCAGCCGTGGAGGCGCTGGGCGGGGGCGGGGCACAGTGGCGCCAAGGCAAGCGGCCTGTCTGGTTTCAGGGCCGGGGCTGATCTTCATCATCTACCCGGAGGCCATCGCCACACTGCCGCTGTCCTCAGCCTGGGCCGTGGTCTTCTTCATCATGCTGCTGACCCTGGGCATCGACAGCGCCGTGAGTAACCCGCTGCCAACCCCACCGCGGGAAGTTGGGGCCCAGTCACGGCCTGCTCTGTGGGGTACCTCCCAGAGCTGGGCAGGACCCCCGGACGCTCACCAGCGGCCCTCAAACCTCAGGGCTCGGGTAGAGCCCCCGCTTGAGAGCCCCCTCTTGGGGCCGGGTGAGCCCCGCTCCTCCTCCCCGGGGCATCGGCGTGGCTGCCCCGAGCCCTAAGCCGCCTGCAGGCTGCGGCCGGGCCCGCACCCAGAGCTCTGCCGAGAATGATGGGCGTTTTCGGGAGGGGCGGCAGCAGGCGCCCCCAGCACCACGCCTGGTCCTGACGATTCCCAGTGCTGGCAAGTCCCCGCCGGGTGTGGGCAGGACGCCCCACAGCCGTCCCGTCTGTGCCCTGCAGATGGGCGGGATGGAGTCGGTGATCACCGGGCTCATCGACGAGTTCCAGCTGCTGCACAGGCACCGCGAGCTCTTCACACTCTTCATTGTCCTGGCGACCTTCCTCCTCTCCCTGTTCTGCGTCACCAACGTACGTACGGCTGCCGCTCTCGGCTTCGCCCGACAGTGTCCCGTTAGCACGCGGCACGG